TACTTGTTCTTTAGTTTTGGTACAAGAAAGAAGTTGTTTTTAGGTCCTTTTTTTTTCAAATCTCTTTCTTGCTCTTTGGTTTTTGCTAATTTCTCTTTCTGTATAATTTAGTGTAATTCTTCTGTATTGTTTAACTTTGTTGAGAAGTCATGGCAACAACTATAGATATATACAGAAATAACAAAGAAAAAAGACTGCAAATCAAGTTTTTAACTGGACTAAAACGACATCGTTTTGATGAGGTCAATCAAACAAAAAATTACAAAATTCAATGAAACGCTATCGTTTCACTTAACCGCATAATATGCGGTAAGCTCNAACTTTGTTGAGAAGTCATGGCAACAACTATAGATATATACAGAAATAACAAAGAAGAAGGACTGCAAATCAAGTTTTTAACTGGACTAAAACGACATCATTTTGATGAGGTCAATCAAACAAAAAATTACAAAATTCAGTGAAACGCTGTGGTTTCACTTAACCGCATAATATGCGGTAAGCCCCCAAGCCCAGACAAGCCAGACCCAATGGTACTATATATAACTAATAAAGATCAGGCAAAAGGTTGGTTTTGTTTTCTTATGTTTATTGTGTTGTAATAGGATACTTCCAACAACCTACTTTTTTCTATTACATCAGCTGGGTCCTACCCTTATATATATATATATTGTTTGAATTGAATTTTAATATTCTTTTACAATAATTTTTAAGATAATTCTATGGTATCGAAAGTTATTATTTTTTAAGGTTAATTTACTCTTTTTAAAAGTGAAATTTTAACTATTTAAAGAATGATTGATCATGATATATTTTAATCGATCGTGAAAGTGAAGTTATAACTACTTAAAGTAATTCATGATCGATAATGTTTTAAATAGTTATAACTTCACTTATAAGAAGGGTAAATTAACATTAAAAAATAATAATTTTTAATTGATCGTGAATTACTTCAACCATTTCTAATTTCTAATTTATAAATTATAACTTGACATTTAAAAATATAATTTTATTTTTAAAAGTTGTAACTTCCGTAATCGATCATAATATTTTATTACTATGTCTTTTATAATTATAACTTACACTTAAAAAAATTATATATTAACCTTAACAAATTACAATTTTTGGTACGTGACCTTATCAGTTATCTATTTTAAATTCCTTTTTTTTATGAAAGATTGATTCAAGCACATATTTTTCAACTAGAAACTATTTTTTAAAAATATATATATTTTTAAAAAACATTTGCAGGGTTTTCTATTGAAAGCCTATGTTGCAAATGCGCTTTTGCATTAAAAGTGTAGTCTTCAACCACGTTTTTATGGAAACCACTACATTGAGAAATAAGTAAAATAGACTTTTAATTTATGAGAACCCATGCATGGAGAATTTGATTGAGATAGGAAAAAAAAAACCCCAAGTCCTTTGTTTTTGGTCACGAACTATACGAAAATCAAATGAACATCACATAACAAAACAAGAAGTCAAAATGAAATGACTTGATTTGAATAAGATACAACGCAACTCGACTCAACCCCTTAACCCAACTTTACCATGATTAGAGCAACTCCANAAAACAAGAAGTCAAAATGAAATGACTTGATTTGAATAAGATACAACGCAACTCGATTCAACCCCTTAACCCAACTTTACCATGATTAGTGCAACTCTAAGGGGAGTTGCTATTTTTGGGGTGTCAAATGTCATTTTGTAACCTTAAACAATATTTTGACACTCCTAATTTTTAAATTTGTTCTAATGATAGGTTTCAAAATGGAGTGTTATTTTAATATTTTTAGTATTTTCAATTCCAATTTCAATTTTAAGTTATATTTTGAATTCCAATTTCAATTTCAAGTTGTATTTTTAATACATAATTTTTCATAAATAATAGCAATACAAAAAAAAATCATGGTGTAATATGACAATACAAAAAAATTAATTGTGTTATATAACAATACAAAAAAATTTAATGATGTAATATGTAATATAAAAAAAAAATTAGGGTACAAAGTATCATTTGTACTAAAATAAATAATAGTCTGGAACGATGAAAGGCAAACCCTTCCTTTTTCCTTTCCCATTCCCATCCCCATCCCCATTCCCATCCCCATTCCCATTCCCATCCCCATTCCCAGCAATTCAAACTCTACCCTTTTTCCCCTCGCCTGCGATTTTGTTTCCCCTTTCCCAGCGATTCAAACTCTACCCTTTTTCCCTTTCCCTGTGATTCCATTTCCAAGCAAGCAGTAGACACCAACGATTTTCAGGCAAACCTCTTTTTCTTTTACTTCTCTTTGTATTTTCAATCGTTTTTTTGTAACCTCTACTTTCTCTCTCTAAAGTTTACAAATTTGTCACCCAAAGTCTATAAGTTCCATTTTGCAACCCTTGATGTCACCCCCTTGGAGTAAAATTTTTTAATTTTGAGGTGATATTTTAGCAATTAAGGGTTTGCCACCCCTGATGGCACTTGCCGTTAGAGTTGCTCTTACGTAAAACTCTAGATCATGCAAACAAACACTTGCCCATGATTAGGCCATCTCCAAAACCATATAGTTCATCTATTTTTTTTATTTTTTTTAACGATCAGGAGTGTCTAAATCAATTTATACGCACTTCGATTAATCTCTTCTCCAGTTTAATCAAAGACAAACTATTNTGTTATATAACAATACAAAAAAATTTAATGATGTAATATGTAATATAAAAAAAAATTAGGGTACAAAGTATCATTTGTACTAAAATAAATAATAGTCTGGAAGGATGAAAGGCAAACCCTTCCTTTTTCCTTTCCCATCCCCATTCCCAGCAATTCAAACTCTACCCTTTTTCCCCTCCCCTGCGATTTTGTTTCCCCTTTCCCAGCGATTCAAACTCTACCCTTTTCCCCTTCCCCTGTGATTCTATTTCCAAGCAAGCAGTAGACACCAACGATTTTCAGGCAAACCTCTTTCTCTTTTACTTCTCTTTGTATTTTCAATCGTTTTTTTGTAACCTCTACTTTCTCTCTCTAAAGTTTACAAATTTGCCACCCAAAGTCTATAAGTTCCATTTTGCAACCCTNTTTCAATCGTTTTTTTGTAACCTCTACTTTCTCTCTCTAAAGTTTACAAATTTGCCACCCAAAGTCTATAAGTTCCATTTTGCAACCCTTGATGTCACCCCCTTGGAGTAAAATTTTTTAATTTTGAGGTGATATTTTAGCAATTAAGGGTTTGCCACCCCTGATGGCACTTGCCGTTAGAGTTGCTCTTACGTAAAACTCTAGATCATGCAAACAAACACTTGCCCATGATTAGGTCATCTCCAAAACCATATAGTTCATCTATTTTTTTATTTTTTTTAACGATCAGGAGTGTCTAAACCAATTTATACGCACTTCGATTAATCTCTTCTCCAGTTTAATCAAAGACAAACTATTCACGTTAAAATTAAAATATTCATCAAAGATAAATCTTTTATGACCTGACCCCAAAAAATTGTTAAAATTCAAACTAATAACGTCTGAATTTACAACTTATATCTTTTACTACTTGATCTACACTCCATATCTAATTCATCTTTCATTATCACATTTGTCATTTATTGGCTGCTGGCTGGCTCAAGGTGACAAAGAGGCCATACATTCTGTCTCCGAGTCATATATGTCCTTAAAATCTTCTTATATATATATATATATATATATATATATATATATTGGCTTGTATAAGACATGAATGCTACGGTTTGCAATGACATTTCAACACCGATTCATAGAAGTTAAAAGGGTAAAAATGTCCTTAAACTATGCCTCGGGTTTTAAAATGGTCCATAAACTTTAAACTGCCTCAATCTAATCCATAAACTTTCAAAATGGTTTCAATATGAACCTGGTGTTCACTTCAACTGTTTAGCACAAACAGATGCAATTGGGTCTGTATCTGTTTGTGCTATGCAATTGAAATGGATAGATGGTGATGAAACCGAAATTAACTAGGTCAAGTCAAATAAATTACTGAGGCCCAGAGACAATACCAAAATGGGGCTAGGCTAACACTAAGAAGGGACCAGCCCAATAAATTAAGAGGAGATCACGTCAATCATCAAGAATCAAGGAGAAACTTAAGGAGGAGCCTAAATCATCAAAGAGGAGTCAAGGGGGCGCCACCCAAGAGGGCGTCGCCCAAGGGATACCCCAAGAGGACGCCACCCAGGTGTTGGTCCTCTGCCTCTCTTTCGCCATCTTCTCTTTGTCACTCTGAGTCAAGTCGAAGCTCAGGATCAAATTCAACCCAGCTGAAAGTGTTCCTCCAACAAAATAGGGACACGAGGGAGAAAATATCGGGATACGCACGAAAATCAAATCCTATCATAACTATACTTACCAAAGTGGTAGAAACCCTCTCCCTCACGTTATTGCCTCACTGCCTTATTAAATTTATATAATGTAAGCTCCCTCTAAAAAGAGGAAAACCAGAGAGACAACATAGAGACCTCTACACCTTGAAACTCCTACGCACACTACACCTATAGCTTTTGCCTCTCTACACACATTGTTCCCTCTCTCTCTCTCAAAGCATTGTATTTCTACCAAAGTGTTCTCCTGACAACATTATACATCAATAAAGATTTCCGGCCACCATTGCCGTTCCCGAGAATAGAGTAAGTCACCCGGGCCGAACCACTATAAATTCCTATGTTAGCTCTTGATTGTCATTGATTATTCGTTAATTGCATATTAATCACACTCGTTACATATTCTTAACATTTGATCTTGCGTAAAGCCGATTTGTGCATCATCAGAAGGTTTCTATTAAAACTACTTTGATAATTTAGAGACTAAATTATAAGGACCATTTAAAACCGATAGCATAATTTAGATATTAACCCAAGTCAAATAGTTCTGTAAACATAACATGCTTGTCCGGCACCATCCTCACTCGTGAAACAGAACAGATTGCAAACATCTTCATGCAAAGGCAAGAGCAGAAAAAGGAAGAAAAAAATTACGCATTAAGAAAGATCAAGACCTACCCCAAGAATTGGAGAAGATGAATTTCTGTCTAAAACAAATTAACTACTAGTCCACCCTTCCGTGACTGATGGAAAGCAATACCAACAATATTAGAACGTATTCTACATAAACTCAATTCATTTGCTTCATATGCAATTATGAAGCCTAAGAAATTGGCAAATACCTTCTACAATGTGAAATCTCCTGGAATCCAAGAGCTCTCCCCTACCGAGAAATCAGAAACTATCTTGGCTATAGCAACCTTAATCTTTTAGCTAGACAGGCTTGTCCATGAGACAAATGCATCCATCACTTCCTCGAGTGATTAAGAAAATTTGCCTGTACAAAGAATGGGCAAAACAATCAGCAATAATTTATCCCGTGAAACGATAAATGCTAAGTTAAATATTGATTCCCTTTCCCTGAATGCTGCCACTAATCTAATGCCACAGCTTACTACAGAAACCATTCCGTGGCCTCTTGAGGGATACGATATCTGAAAAGGAGTCAACCAACTGTCCTGCTAAGCTACTAGGATCATCAATTAGAGTTTGAATAAAAGTGTTGACCACCCTGCGTTCCTGCTCCGTTGACCTCAAGCTAAACCACGTCAGCAATTTCAATCTGAATTCCTTTTTAATGTAATCCTCACATTCCAGCCAACGAATAATCTTCACACAGTACTCGAAGTTCTCATCCAAGCACTCTGACTCATTGTGGATTCGAAATGGTGATCCATTTATCAAAGTGCTATCACAATCAAACGTCTCTTCATTTGTGCTAGCTGCCCTTTTCCTGCAGGATTCTGTCCGGGAGTCAACTGCAGGAACTTCCTTATTCAGAACGTGGTTCCAGTTTTGGGAGTCACCACTCCCGTGCAACCTTGCTGCGTCATTTCTCTCAATATTATTTAAAATAGCATCATCTGCTTCAACAGTTTGACCAAATGTGCATCCATTATCTTCATCCCTAGAGGACTCTATATGAGGTATTACCTCTTCATTTAAATCAGGCACTGAAGCTACATTTAAGTCAAGCTCACGTGAAACAGATGGTACCCTAACTTCTTGCAGAGTTTCCTTTTTCACTTTGTTAACTCCACAGCCTTTCTCTATATCTACACTGCAGAACCCATCAAAGCAGCCTTGTTCTTGAGCCCATGCCAGCCGCAGGATTTTCCCGAGGTCTCGGACCTTGAATCCAGAGTCAGATTCAATGGTGGTTGTGTTCTTATGCTTCATCCTGGAACCAGAACTTCCTCCAATTTGTGAATCTGCTTTCTTATGGTTCAATGCATTTGAGTTGGGATTCTTGTGAATTATCTCCACGCTCTTTGTGAAACACTTAGCCTCAGAGTGTCCCAAGTCACCAGCATCCGTGTAGGATACAATCCGGAAGGAGTACTCCGTGCAAGGCTGCAAATTGGTTATCAAAATTCTTCTCTGAGATCTTGGAAAAACACACACAGGCTCTTTTGTGTGTTTTTCTTCCTTCTTCTTACAATACCAGAGCTTGTAGCCCTGAATATCGTTGGATGACGCAATAGATAGTTCGATCAATAAAATTACGACCGAAGAAGAAGTCACCTCTTCAAAGAGGAATCTGCAAGCTGCAGGAAGTGAACCCTCTGCAAGGGAGAAAAATGAAAATTAATTTTCCCAAGTGATCAACATATTACAGTTCTTGAAAGCAATAAAAAATAGAAGATACAAGCTATTACCGATAGCTCTGATATTTGGGTTCACACTAACAACCGCAGCCAAAGATTCGTCTGCTTTCTCAATCGCACGAGAGCAGAGTGTCTGCACATCACCTGCAACAGAGAGTCTGCCGACAATGCCACGTGCCAACTTGGCTGAAACACCATTAACTGGACCCACCTCTGTTTCTAACTTAGCCTTAGCTTCTGTAACAATTTCATGCAGTTCTTTGAACCTGGAAGTCCCATCCAGGAGCCTGTAACTCAAGAATATCCTACAGCAGAGTACATCCACACGGCGAGNGTCAACCAACTGTCCTGCTAAGCTACTAGGATCATCAATTAGAGTTTGAATAAAAGTGTTGACCACCCTGCGTTCCTGCTCCGTTGACCTCAAGCTAAACCACGTCAGCAATTTCAATCTGAATTCCTTTTTAATGTAATCCTCACATTCCAGCCAACGAATAATCTTCACACAGTACTCGAAGTTCTCATCCAAGCACTCTGACTCATTGTGGATTCGAAATGGTGATCCATTTATCAAAGTGCTATCACAATCAAACGTCTCTTCATTTGTGCTAGCTGCCCTTTTCCTGCAGGATTCTGTCCGGGAGTCAACTGCAGGAACTTCCTTATTCAGAACGTGGTTCCAGTTTTGGGAGTCACCACTCCCGTGCAACCTTGCTGCGTCATTTCTCTCAATATTATTTAAAATAGCATCATCTGCTTCAACAGTTTGACCAAATGTGCATCCATTATCTTCATCCCTAGAGGACTCTATATGAGGTATTACCTCTTCATTTAAATCAGGCACTGAAGCTACATTTAAGTCAAGCTCACGTGAAACAGATGGTACCCTAACTTCTTGCAGAGTTTCCTTTTTCACTTTGTTAACTCCACAGCCTTTCTCTATATCTACACTGCAGAACCCATCAAAGCAGCCTTGTTCTTGAGCCCATGCCAGCCGCAGGATTTTCCCGAGGTCTCGGACCTTGAATCCAGAGTCAGATTCAATGGTGGTTGTGTTCTTATGCTTCATCCTGGAACCAGAACTTCCTCCAATTTGTGAATCTGCTTTCTTATGGTTCAATGCATTTGAGTTGGGATTCTTGTGAATTATCTCCACGCTCTTTGTGAAACACTTAGCCTCAGAGTGTCCCAAGTCACCAGCATCCGTGTAGGATACAATCCGGAAGGAGTACTCCGTGCAAGGCTGCAAATTGGTTATCAAAATTCTTCTCTGAGATCTTGGAAAAACACACACAGGCTCTTTTGTGTGTTTTTCTTCCTTCTTCTTACAATACCAGAGCTTGTAGCCCTGAATATCGTTGGATGACGCAATAGATAGTTCGATCAATAAAATTACGACCGAAGAAGAAGTCACCTCTTCAAAGAGGAATCTGCAAGCTGCAGGAAGTGAACCCTCTGCAAGGGAGAAAAATGAAAATTAATTTTCCCAAGTGATCAACATATTACAGTTCTTGAAAGCAATAAAAAATAGAAGATACAAGCTATTACCGATAGCTCTGATATTTGGGTTCACACTAACAACCGCAGCCAAAGATTCGTCTGCTTTCTCAATCGCACGAGAGCAGAGTGTCTGCACATCACCTGCAACAGAGAGTCTGCCGACAATGCCACGTGCCAACTTGGCTGAAACACCATTAACTGGACCCACCTCTGTTTCTAACTTAGCCTTAGCTTCTGTAACAATTTCATGCAGTTCTTTGAACCTGGAAGTCCCATCCAGGAGCCTGTAACTCAAGAATATCCTACAGCAGAGTACATCCACACGGCGAGCATCCTTTGCTATACTTAGCTGCTTCTTCCAATATCTGCCAGAATCCATAAACAAAAGTAAAGACTCAAAACCCACTTACTGAAAATTACAAATTAATTGTCATTTCCTGCTTCCTATTTTCTAAATTTGGTTTTAACCTTGGAATTTTGTCTGCCTCTATTGTTAATCTTTCTTATCTTTTTTTCTTTGAGAGCATATAGGAGCTGTGGGTGGGCACTTAAAAGTCATCTTTAAGTCCTGAATTAAGAGTAGACAACTTACCCAATAATACTAGACACCTTACCACAAGCAGCACAACAATAACTCCCATCAAGATGCATCAATTGCCCAAGTTCAACAACGCCCACTTTTCCATGTTGGAGGGCGCACTCAATGTGGCAAGATAAGCCACAGGAGTCCCCTTGACCAGATTCACATGTGCATTCCAGCCAAAGACTTGGATCCTTGTTGTCGTCGAATAAGTGACAAATGCAGCAAGAGCATCTCTTGCAAAATGTGTCATCTGTGGATAAAAGGGCTCTACACGCAGAATTTTTACAGATCCATGAATTTGAACATTTGACATCCGCACATTGTTCTGAAACTAGTGGAATTCGGACAGGATTTTCCCCCTTTCTGGGTTGTTTTTGAGAAGGCTGGTCCTTTGGACTTAAAGATGTCTTTTTTGGCTCTTGATTCTTTAATGCTTTCTTATTTGTCTTTGCAGCTTGGTCAACCATTTTGGACTTTGACGAAGCCGAGAGTTTCTTTTCCTTATCAAAGCATGGTTGAAAAAGATCCTTCCTTGGACCTGATTTCAGAAACTCTTGGAGAAGCTCTGGACTTCTTGAAGCATCATCTGAATGTCCATTTTTTTCTGGAGTGCTTTGCACACTGGAAGAAAGACTTTGCACACTAGAAACTGGATACAAAATACATACCAACTGAGATGGTGAAAAAATCTACAGCATTGGAAAAAATAAGAAAACAAAATTCTACCAAAGAAACAAACACAACTAACTCAGCAACTTTATGTGACACTAATACACGCAAAAATGTGTCTTCTTCATGATTCAACTCCTGCAACTCTTCTACCACCTTCCACACCTTTTAAGCAACTCTAATTTTTTACCAAACTGCCTCTTTCTTAGGTGTTTGCATACCTTTCTTCATTAATTCTTGTAGCCATTAGATGTGTTGGGTTAGAATCAGCCAAAATGAACTTATTCCTGCTCAAGCTCATGCCAAACTTTTTCCACTCGGATCCCATCTTGTGAAGCATATCTCTTATCATCTCTTGTTGACAAACATCCTGCGCCATCACAGTCTAATAATCCCCTTTTAGTTGGATTAGAAATTGGGGGGTAACATCTTTTGAATTTTTTTTTTTTTTTGAATGTGACATAACATCCTCAAAAGTACAAGCATTTTCTAGAGACCCTATACTAGTCATATGGAAGCATTATTGCCTATCTTCTTCTTGAGGACATTCAAACAATATGCCAAGGTTTACAGTTAAAATCTATATCAAGCCAGTCAGAAACAATTGTAAGAAGAAAGTGCGAGGAAAGAAAATGCGCCAGGGAGGTGTTGATAATTATACCTGCTAGATCAGCCAGGATAAGATCAAGAACAAATTAGTTGACCATCTTTCTAGTCCACAGGAAAATTAATGACAATAGTTCATCAGCCACTAATCCACACTACCACGAGCAGCAGCTAGGCAGAGAAAATAAATGAAATCTTCCATTTATAAGGCCCAATAAGCTCACTTCACAATACCATAAGAGCATTTCCAACAAAACATGTAAAACTCCAAAATAGTTCAAATTTAACTAACCAAAGACAAAAAAATCATGCTCCGACAAAACATGTTCAAATACCCTAAAATAGCTTTTTACTATAGCGATACTCTAAATATAGAGCATCACTATAGCAACTTATATAAATAGTTTATAATTTTTTCTCGTTCCTCGTGTCCTTTCTCACCTCCCTTGTCCACTCTGTCTTTCCCTCCATTTTTTTTTCTCCCTCTCTCCCTCGAACAGTCCCAACAAAGATACAAAATATGAGAAATAATATTTAAAATAAAGAAAATCTGTTGGAGTGTGTATTGAAAATTTGAGTAGCTAAAATAGAGAATAAAGNAAATGCGCCAGGGAGGTGTTGATAATTATACCTGCTAGATCAGCCAGGATAAGATCAAGAACAAATTAGTTGACCATCTTTCTAGTCCACAGGAAAATTAATGACAATAGTTCATCAGCCACTAATCCACACTACCACGAGCAGCAGCTAGGCAGAGAAAATAAATGAAATCTTCCATTTATAAGGCCCAATAAGCTCACTTCACAATACCATAAGAGCATTTCCAACAAAACATGTAAAACTCCAAAATAGTTCAAATTTAACTAACCAAAGACAAAAAAATCATGCTCCGACAAAACATGTTCAAATACCCTAAAATAGCTTTTTACTATAGCGATACTCTAAATATAGAGCATCACTATAGCAACTTATATAAATAGTTTATAATTTTTTCTCGTTCCTCGTGTCCTTTCTCACCTCCCTTGTCCACTCTGTCTTTCCCTCCATTTTTTTTTCTCCCTGTCTCCCTCGAACAGTCCCAACAAAGATACAAAATATGAGAAATAATATTTAAAAGAAGTAGTTAAAATAAAGAAAATCTGTTGGAGTGTGTATTGAAAATTTGAGTAGCTAAAATAGAGAATAAAGCTTTTTGGGTGGCTAAATTAGTTTTTGTTGTTGGAGATGCTCTAAGAGGCAGCTGGGTTGACAGACACTATCCCAAGTCATCTGACCCACCAATAGTTTGATCTATCTAAAACAAGTCTCACTTATAATTAGCAATTTACTACGGATACTCAGGTCATTCTACATTGCAATGATGGCAGTACATCCCATCACTTAAGTGGTCAAGCCATCAAGAGATCAAAATCTAGCCCAGCCCCTAGGCATCTCTGAATTACAAATACAAAATTTGACAACCAGACATTTAGCAATGTGTCGTCATAATTTTTTAGGGTAAAATTGGCAGTTCATCTATAAAATGCTATATATCAACTAACTTGGTCACCATCATCGCAAAAACCAATTGCACCAAGCAGCCTACACATGGTGAAAGCTCCAAAGAAAGGTCAAAATCCATCGAACTCTCAAGTCGGGACATATGAAGCAAATGCAGCCATTGTTCAATGCCAATGGCGCACCACCAATGAATACAAGATGGTTATGGTGAGATCGAGTGAGAAAACAAAAGTAGATTGATGATCTGGTTTTCAGTAAAATTTAACCTTATGCATGGCAATAGAAAACCTACAGGAATAAATTCTGCATCTTTCTGGACCTTCTAAGCATAGGAATTTTCTACACCCAATTAAAGCATGTTAGGTCATGCATGCATAGTATGGACTAAATTCTGATAAATATAAATGGGGGTTTTACAGAAAAAATTAAATATGCACAAAAAGCTAATAGCTCTTGCTGGGTTGTGAATTGCGAGCGACAATAATAAGAATGGTGTAACAGATCCTGGTAACTTAGAGTACATTTGTAGTACTCTGAATGACGGTAAAGAGGTCTGCCATTCCCTCATCATGCTTCCCATGGAGATAGACCTACAGCTAGAGTATTTTAGACTGGATAATAGCATACATATCAACTCATCATTCTTATGAAGAGACACATCATACATAATTCAATCCAATTTTCCAGCACAATCCAAATTAGTAAGCTGGAATCAACTCAGTTTAGATACCAAAGTCGATAATTTTAACATTCTATGAAACCTGATCAGAGAAATAAGAAGTTTACTTTTGAACAGATCGACAACTGCTTGCTAAAATATCAAAAAGATTTCAACACACCCAGAACCATATAAACACCATATTATCCAGTTTAAATACATCCTGAAGATATGATATCTCNATCAGAGAAATAAGAAGTTTACTTTTGAACAGATCGACAACTGCTTGCTAAAATATCAAAAAGATTTCAACACACCCAGAACCATATAAACACCATATTATCCAGTTTAAATACATACTGAAGATATGATATCTCATCAGATGTACTAATCAGAGTTTCCTATGAAAGAGGGTTTAAATAAAAAAAAAATCTGCAGGAACTGTTTTTCTTACTACCAAGGGTGTATAAGAAGAAAATTGTGTGACCTTTTTTTTCCATATGAAATGAAAAATAGGAAAGGAGAGAATTGACTGAGAGCTAAAATTGCCATAGGAGCATTTGTGGAATGGCCTGTAGGTGCAGCAATAGACTCAAAAAAGTTGATGATCCAAGGGTTTCAAGCTCCCTCTGGAACCTGAATTCCCAGTCTTAAATGATGATGCAGTGACCTCAACTACTTGAACCACACAAACAGCAAACTGTTTTGCAGTGTTTTCACAGGTGTAGACATGCCTTCAGTTAATTCCCAAATGTCCAAGCCTCAAAAAGGAATAAAAGAAAGGAGAAAAGTAAAAAGAAAGTTCAATTAAATACATCTTTTACTGGCCAACTCTTCTTTATTTGGCATCACTGAGTATTCTTTACTTTATTTGGCATCATTGAGTATTCTTTACTGGTTTCCAAATCTATGATGATTTGTTGAGATTATGGGATTGATGCATTTGACTATCTTAAAAAACGGATGTGATTGGACACTCATTAGTCATTATTCATTTGTTCATTTTGTGGTAAGGAATGCCAAAGTATTTTATGATACTACCTTAAACAATCATCTGCAATTACAAAACCTTTCCTTCTCAGGGCCAGGAAGAGAGTGATAGAGAGAGTGGAATAGGCAAAAAAAAGGTTTCAATAATTCATTCTAGTTTCACTGCATTTGATACTGACACGAAGCTAAAAAACCTGATGGAAATGCTTATTAGGCCTTATTCTCAATCGGCAGCTTGCACATCAACACCAGGGATAAAACACTTACAATTTTCAAAAAGGGAGACAAAGTAAACCCATGAAAGTAGCTGAAGAGCCAAAGTCTAAGGTTCAACTCTCCTGGGCTAAGCCAATGCACATTTGGTTGCTGTGATTATAGCTTCTACATGGCTTAGCGTGGACCAAAAATGGGTCGAGGGAAACAAGAAAAGGATGGTGTTATCCTCATTTGATGGCCATAAAGCCTCTCAAATGACATGACTGAGTAATTTATAAGTCCAGAATCATAAACAGGATACGGAAATTTGTTATAGAGACCAATAGGATTCTCTGTTCACATTTTTTTGTTATTTAAATATAAAAAAATATAAAACAATTGGAAGTATCAAAATCACACCTTTAGCAAGAAGTTTGTCTTCCAAATCCATGTCGTGAAAGCTTGATATGGACCTTTAAGCAGCCCACCCTGTGACAATCAGTAACTTAGAAAACAGCTTCATGTAAAGCAAATCAGATACGGTGTCTGATATGGAAAGGTAATAGCAACAACAAACCAATACTATTATGTAATGGGCAAGTGGATGGTTACCATTTTCCCAATCACCATCACACAAAAATTCTACTAATTATAAAACGTTAAACACAGCCAATAACAGATATGAACATTATAACATCAATAATTCAGCGAGCACACTCAAAGTCACAAACCCATGTATGTGAATTGGAAAGAGTAGAGCTGCCTTGATTATAGCTCTATATTGATATAAAGGGGATGAAGGGTGAAAGGAAAATGAGAAGCAAGTCTTGAGAGAGTAAAGAGCCACCGTTAGGTGGTCTTGTGCTAAGTGCAATCGATTGTCATTCTTTACAGATTGAATTATTGTAACTCCACCCAACCAACAACGTAAATTCCACATCACAGGTGAGTTATAGTACCAACTCAATATCTATTGAAACTAAGGGGGAAAAGCTTTTAATGAAGCTGAGGGTGCTGTTGGGACTTGGGAGGGAGCGATTAGGTACCCATGCACACACAGTTCATCACAACATTTTCACCACTGCATAGACATTGCCATATCCCACCCCTTAAGGCGTGAAAAAACATGCTTACTCTCAATGCATCGCATATTACCATTTTTAACTGCTAATCACAAAACAGTTTCTTAATAACAAAATGCACCTACAAGACCTTTCAAATACATGTATTGAAATTGGGTTCAAATTCTATGTAATTTTGTGCCAATTTAACCACAAACAAGTATAAAGTCAATGGCCAATCACATGAGCATCAATTATAACACACTAAACGAAAACAACAACAGATCTGAACATGAAGAGAGTCAATAATTCAGAAAACACTCACATACACACAGATATAAAAAAACATAACTNTCTATGTAATTTTGTGCCAAT